TATTGCCTGTAGTGTTATTTTGGTAATAATGATAGAAACTGGCTAGCAGTGAAACCCAAAATACTCGTTTCGTTTTGTTTGAGGCTCATCAGATGGATGTACCCGTCTCTCAAAGTGACGTTCTTTCCACTAAGACTCGAATCTATCACTACAACCAATTTGGACATTATTTACAAATTGAATCGGTGACGTTGATGCTACCGACAGTCATGTAGTTTACAGTCACTTGACTAACTGGTTAATAGACAATTTGTGAATTATCCATTCAAATGAAAAGTAACCTGATAATCCTTGTGATGTTTATAAAAATTCTCATATACACATAGTCTTTATAAGATTAACTAATTTGATATAGCACACAGTGATACAGTAAATTTTTATATGATAATATCTTGAGCATAAGTAGTTAGTCATTATCGTTTCATAATTATCATACGAAAATCGACATCTAGTTCTTATATTCTTTGTTTTAAGTGGTAGTAAAATTCTTTACATCTCCGGTAAAGGTGTTGCGTCATTCATATTACTCGATGAACGAAGATTCGGTAATCAATGCCTCTCCCCACATAACTATTTTGAACTTAAGTACAGTTGCTTTAAACCAGCCTATTTCATGGCCAAGTTACAGTGCTTGCATTGTCATAACCAAGCTATTTTGTTGAGGTTATTGATTCTAATGAGGTCAATCGTTCTACATTTGGCTAAAATTCCAAAGCTCAGATAGTACAGCCGACATCGATTGACTAGTCTAACTCAAGTATTTGACCTCACACTTATTGCATATAATTTGGTAGGTCAGAATATATATTTTTATTGAGTCGATGGGATCCTTAAGCCGATAAAGCTGATCTCTGAGTAAGTTTGTGGATTTAAATTTCAACTTAATTTCAGCCTTATTGAGGTAAAGTTTCTGATGTTCTTTCGCCATATGGTAAGACAAAAAAAGCTCTGAACTCTTCCCCACTTATTTCTTCGTTACTGTTCATATTACTACTACTAATTAGTTTTTTATATGTTCTGACGGATTTCTTTGTAAACTCTGGAGGATAATTATTAGTTAGCAGTGGTTCATCCATATGTTTTGATTCATCATTTAAGTTCTTGGATTTACCAGTAAGTTTTCTAGCTCGACTATTTAAACATTCAACTGATATTGGGTGAGATGACTAGAAGTCTGGACGCCTGTTTTAATGTATTGGTTTTCTGTAAAGGGTAGCATATTGACCAGTATCCACCCAGTGGTAACATACTGGCCGTGGAATATGAAGGTCCTGGGTTTGCACTGCTGAGAAGTCATACACCGAGACGAAACAGCCATACAGTGCTCCCAGAGCTCCAACGGTTCTCCAGTTGATGTCAGTCCTTGATAAATACCAAAATGAAGTCTATAAAATAAGCCCTCCTAACTGAATTACTGTCCAGTGGTCAATACTAACTTGTTTCTAGATGACATTTTTGAAGTTCTTATCAGAAGTCGTGACCCGTGGGGCAAATCAAGTCATACATGAAGATAGTTACTCAAGGACGGCAATGTGGTGAGATTGCATTATGTCGTGAACTTGCAGAAGTAGGAAAATTGGACCAATGGAGTCCAACCCAGTGGCCCAAGGGTAACGTGTGGAACCGGAACGCCCTAACTTCAATCCCTGGTGGAGTCACGAGTGCGCACTGGTGAGTTCCACACAAGGACGAAACAGCCGTTCGGTGCTCCCAGGCTTTCAATGGTTCTCCAGCAGATGTTATTCCATGATGGATACCAACTTGAAACCAACGTCTATTCCTCGTTTTGCTTTGCATTTCAAAGTAACTATTTCTTGTTGTTCATTTTCAACCTCATAATTGAAACGGAATGCACCTACTACTTAGTTTAAATGTATGAAGAAGCCATCGAGATGTTTCAATTTCAACACAGTAAACGTCTCATCCACATATCACCACCATACCCTGGAGGTAGGATTAAACGTGCGGAAAGTCATATGTTTCCAACTACTCATGAATATATTTGGTACTATTACGGATATAGGTAATCCCATTGCAGCTTCATCAGTTTGTTCCTGTAGTTTTTCCTAAGACCACACACGTAATACGATCTCATTGAAAGATGCCTTAGTGGTGTGAGTAAGTTCTGAGTCGATACTTAACTGACTTCTGCCTTCCTCTGGTGCCATGCTGATTGATTTCTTAGTATAAAGGATTGCTACATAGAAACTAATCATGTTTTTATCCTCTTTTAAATGCAAGTCTGAGTCAGTCCCTAGGAACTAGCTAGTTTAGGATTTCAAAGGTTTCTAATCAAATATAGTACCGTTGCTAAATATCTAAACAGTCTGTTTATCGGAGTATTTCTAGGGTCAGCTTTTGGTTTAATTTGAAAAAGTGCTTCACGAACTTTTTAAGTACCGTAAATTCTGCTAGGATTTTTAGTTTTAGACAGCAAATCAAAATATTCAGACTCACCCACCGATGGCTGCAGTCATCATTGCAGGCTGGCTGCAGATTTTATAATCTTATTCATGACAGTATCTTTTGGTTCGCGATCTATTCATAAGACCCATTTTAGATGTCCTAGTCATTTTTTTTGTTAAAAGTGCACAATTCTCCTATAACTATTGTTGAACTATCCTTATCAGACTCAGAGACTACTATATTAATGATGTATAGTGGCTAGCGATGGAATCTAGGACATGTGTTTCGTTCCATTTGGGACTCATCAGCCGCGCGTAACTGCCTCCGCATGAGCTACGTTGTTCCCACTGAGACACGAACGCGGGGGCCAACAGCCTAAACTGCCAAAGCCTTATTTACTGGGCCAGCGAGATATGTGTATCGTGGGTTCCACTGCTATCCACTATCCATCATTATTCCCAGACGAAAACTAAAGGCAATTTCCAGGCATCCGTGCAGAAGCCTATATGTCAATACAGACTGATAGATTCTGTTCGATTAACGGTTGAACACAGGCAACAACATAAAAAAGCTACTTTACTATTGTCAACTGATAGATTATTCAAAACTGCTATCTTTAATTTTGTTAAATTTCGTCCTGTCTTCTTTTGCCTTTTTCAGTTTTAATGCACACAATATTTAATTTCAACATAGTTAAGTGAAGAGCGAAAAATAGATTGACGAATCTTCGTTCATCGAGTCAGCACTCAACATATATACTATGAATGATACGGTACGTTTGATGGAGATGTGAAAAATTTTACTACCACTTAAAACAAAGAATATAAGGTGGTCGGACTTTATAAATCAGACGTTGAAATTTGTTTGATTACCTCAACATAATAATGATCAGTAACTTATGCTCAAAACGTTATCAGATAAGAATATACTGTATTACTGTGTGCTATATAAAAAAAACCAATCCAAAATGGAAGCATATTCTACCACAGTGCTCAGTTTTACTTTTGTTTCAATATATATAGCCCCAAGTATATCATTCCTAGCACAATGAATTATGAAGACTGTTCATTCCACGTTTTATAATGTCTTTTGGAGACAGATTTTCACACCTGTTCAGTATAAATGTTTTAGTCGTGGTGATTTAGCGTCTTACTTATCAGATGGAGACAAATACGCAGCTTATTTTCTTACCATTTTCAAAAAGAAATGACTTGGTTTCAAATGGATACCCAAGAAAATAATGATAACTTACCCCTTGGACAGATGGAACAGTAAAATATTTTGATTCTTTGTATACCGGTCACCAGATCCGTTAAATTAGGTTTTCAGCTCCATTTACACAAATAATGAAATTCTAGAATGAGTACCTTAACAAAAAACCCATTGAGTTAATTGAGTTGTTCGATAAACCATTTCTATTGCTGAGCTATCGGCTCCCTTTTTATACGGTTTATTTGAGTGTAGATTGCGTAATAATTTGAACTCAACCAGAAGACCATAAAGGTAGGTTTGATTGGTACTTTATCGTGTTCTATAACTTTTGAAAAATCCACACTTTCAATTCATCTCAGGTTTAAACCTAATATTCTTAGATAAAAGCCTAAACCTTTTCAATTACGGCTTAGGGCAGCTGTAATGAATTTTTTTTTCCTACATAAAAGACACTTATTCGCTGATTGACAATCAATAATATGTAAAATGGCTACACGAAATTATATTTTCAACAGGTGTTCAATAGAATGCCTCAAATGGGAAAACTGCTTCTCAGTATGAAAAAAACTCACTCTGTAACTTCCTCTGATTTCTCCAACTTAGTTATTTTCTAGATTACTGTGAACCAGTTCAGTTATTCTAATTGGTTAGATTTCACGCCTCATTTATTCTGCATCTTGCTTGTTAATTAGCTGAATTAAGCAAATGAAACAGCCATAGGGTTGTAAGTACCACCGTAAACGCCGCTGTTAGCTGGTATAAATACCTTACAAAGCAATAAACTTCCAGTTGGTCAGGTACGTTAAGGACGAACCACCCACAGGACCCCATCGTTAGATTGTCAGCTTTATAACACCTAATATTAAACATTACTCTTACAGGTATACAGTTTTGTGAATCTGTGGTCAGCTTACTAAACATATGCTGGGTTTCAGGCTTAATTCATAGAATGTAAGAAAATTATCACAAGTTTTCATCAGTGTTTATATGTCATTGTATAAGCTCTTCTCTAGAAATATCACTATCAGTGACTCCTGTATTTTACTTTTTAAATTTGGTTAAACAAAAATCAAATTATCTTGAATTCCCTCAGTATGTAGGTAAACAAAATGCCTACAGTGTTGGAGTTCAACATTTTTAAATCAATTTATATAATTTAATAATTTTTTGTTTGCTCACAGCGTGCCTAATTGAAATGTGATTAGTGGAGGACAGTAAACTAATTTACACTTCAATAACAAGCATATATTGGCTAACTTGCTCTAGTTAGTCTTATCCTATCATAATCGATTTTATCCATCTTAACCACCCACTGTGTTCAAATCTGAATTTGAATTTTCAACCAATCACATTTCTACTAGGGAAAGTGTAACGTTTAATATGAAGACGAATGACGACATTGGTGATGGTGATGTTGTTGACTTGTATCCCAAGACCTTATTTATTTATTTATTTATTTATTTATCCAACCTATCGTGTTGAACAAAAAAGATTGTTTCGTTTACCTTACTCTTTGCTCATCTCTGCAAAGAATAAGAATTATTTGTGAAGTATAGAATCACTCACCTGTTACTGCAAAATTCATTAGTATGCTCACTGCATCAATTCGCCCTTAGCAATAACAACAAAAGCATACATAAAACAGTATTAATATAAAGTAAGACTGTAACACTAATATTGACAATAGTTGGAAAACACTTAAGAACACTTTATCTGAACAGTATTACCTACCATACATTTTGAGAAAAGATAAAACTATGCTACTCATTTGGATAATTACTTTGATTGTATTTTCTAGCCAACTCATCCTCGTAAATTCAAATGATATAATTTCACATGTTGATTTAAATAAACAACACTCTGTGGAAGAAAAAGATTCAAATACGAAGGTGGTTTATGAGGCAACACGATCTGTATGTTACGCTAAAGGTCAAGCCGTAGAATGTTCACCACCATTTACAAATATTGCTGAAAATGCTGAGATTAAGGCTACTTCAACTTGTGGAGAATTCGGTCAATCAGAAGAAGTATGCAGTTATACTATGGGGCATCGGAAGTGTGAAGTATGTGATACAGGTGGGAAATTCGGTACACATCTACTAACTGATAGACATCAAATGAATAATGAGACCTGTTGGATTTCAGGATCTGTTCAACCGGGGGATACAGTGAATCTGACCTTATCGTTAGGCAAACGTTTTGAAGTATACTACATCTCTTTACAACCATGTGGTCAGTTGCCGGATTCTATTGCGTTGTACAAGTCATCTGATTTTGGTGTGACTTGGAAACCATGGCAGTATTTCTCAACAGATTGTTATCGAGCCTTTCGTCTACCTACTAGTAATGAGCACAATGCACAAATCTCACTAGCAAACATACAAGAAGTCTTGTGTGTTGCTCTGAAGTCCCAAGAGTCACATGATTCTCTGGGTCAGTCATCAAATGTTATCGCATTCAGCACAACTATTGGACGACCGTCAACACAACCTTGGAGTTCAGCTTTAATTGATTGGATGACTATGACTGACTTGAGAATCAGTTTGATTCAGTTTCCAGATTATCGAGATGAAATTCAACATGATTCCAATGGTTTATTTTTAAATCCTAGTTTGTTGAAACCAGCGAAAGTGTTTCGTGTCGGCGGTAGTGGCACTAATGGTGGTTTTGGCGTAAATCATATTTTGTCTGAGACTGGTACATTGGATATGTCTCAGCATCCATATCAGTCTGATATGCATTATTCAAAAACACCAAAGAATAAAGTACCAGTTCATTTTGCTTTTTCTGATCTATCCATCGGTGGTCAATGCAAGTGTAATGGACATGCTAACCGTTGTGTTAGAGATCGAATCGTTGAAACGACACCTTCAGTGACAAATAATAATGACAAAAACAAAAATGGTCACATAAAATCACAGTGGGGTCCTCTCAGGTGTGACTGTCAGCATAATACTGAAGGAACAGACTGTGAACGTTGTTCACCTGGTTACTTAGATCGACCATGGGGAAGAGGTACTTCAGAATCTGCTAATGAGTGCAAACGTAAGTTTTGAAAGTACTTAACCAGTATTTTAGTTTGTTACTAACTTTTATAATTCAGAAAAATTGTTGCGTTAACAAATTCATGGAAAAATGCTTCCAAAGCATATGAATTAATAGGGTGTAATAACTACCCATGAACCCTAGAATTTACAAGTTTTACAAACCTAGGGGATACTTGTCAATATGACTGAATTCGAAGGGGTAATGATACTCGGGTGGCGGTAATTTCGAAGCAGATCAACTGGAGTGTATAATATAGAATGTTGAAAGTAGTGTTATTACATTGATATGATTATGAGTAATGAAAATTTATGCCCGAAGCGTCATCAAGTAAATAATACTAGGTCACTGTGTGTTGTAAATCAAATGAACAAATCTACTATGGAATTAAATTCTACCACGGTGCCGAAGTTTTACACCTATATTAATAATATGGAATTTCGATGAGAGTTTTAGACCAAGCCATGTTCATTACAATCGTAAATAACAACAGAAATATCATTTATCGATTCAAAAGTTACCTGATAGCCAAAGGTCGTACAAGAATGTATTTTACATTCTACAAGTAAGCGACAATGTGAGGGAGGAGGGGTAGGAATAATACAGATCTACTTATACAACCTCTAAATTCTCACTTGTTCTTCTGCTAACGACAATTAGTGGGTATTTTTGAAAATCAACTTTGTAAAGAACTTTTAAGTCACTAAGATGTAATTAAACTTCTTCAGTTGACCGAAATTCGCATCAAACACAAATAATTTTGAGTAGTGACTAATCGTTAGTAAATGCAGACAGAAGTGCATACTTATTATACTTTCATTTCCTGTTCACTGTCCGAAGTTAGCATAGATACTGATTTATGATATTAGAAGACATATTATGTTGTATAGAAAAACTGACCAAGTTTTTTAGGGAATCCTTCCTATCAGTTAAGCTACTTTAAGTCCTTGTAGTCAGCATTTTAAACAGCTGAGTTTAAACATTTCTTTTTAAATTTTGTCTTTTAAGAAACAATTACATTGTTGACTTTATTAATAAGAATATGGAACAGTGGACGAGGTTAATATCGGGGGGAATTTCTAAGATTCTTCAAATAAGTGAAACAGTATTCCAGCCTAAATATATACACTTCAGTGAATAGATGCTTGACTGGAGATTTCCTCTGGGATACAGTTGCAATCAGTAATGCTTTCAATGAAAAATTAGTCATGACCTTCAATGTAACTTCCTATAACTGTAGCTCAAAAGGAATCTCCACCTGAGTATTCTTTCAGTATCTTAAATTACTGTACATATCGTTGGATATCACGAATCACTTGGTGTGCGCTTCAGAGTTGTTGAAAATTCCTTTCAATGTTAACTGTTTTCGCTTATTGGTGTTACCTGTTATCGGGAATAGTTAATATCCTGTTCATCCACTGATTTGATAAACACTAGAAAGCAATAGATCTTCACTTATAGTTGGAAGATGGGGGATTTTTGGCTGTGGTTAAATTTTTCAGTACTTTTTGAGTGCATACACCTCCAATTTTTACTCAGTGACTTAAAACTGTTGTATGCTTTATGTACATTCTGGGAAAGAACCACGATATTCGAAATGGACCTGTATGGTGATATCCAAAGAAAAATAGTTTCCGTTAGACCATACGATCTGTTAGAAAGGAATGTTACGAGAATATTTTTTGTATCTTCTCTTCACATGGGTTTATTTAGAGTTCTAAAGTTGCAGATATTGAGTCGATGTGTATAGTTCTACTCAACAGTGGACATGTAATAGCATCTTCAGTCTGTTTTAGTGTGGTTAAAGGTATTTGGAGTCTAGGATTTCAGTCATATTCAATAGAAAGAAACTTCATTTGATAATAGAATTTCAGTTTTTGATGTACAATTCTGTTTTACTCAATATGTTGTCATTGTTCTCAAAACAAAATACAAATAAAAGAGAATTATAAAATTTTGCGGAAAAACGATACCGTATTAACTAGAAACCCTCAGAACCTTAAAGTGAGTGTAATTATTAGTAGATCAATCAGTATTCTGAGGATTATTGTGAGAAGTGATAGTTTTAGAAGACGAACTAGGGTTAACAAATAAAAATAGTCCCCCACAATATAGGGAGTCGGTTTACTGCTGTTTTCATCTTGATGTGATAAAGTTCTTCGACCGGTAGCTCATTCAACATGTAGGCTCAGGTGGATGCGTTCTTATGTATGTTTTACCTTTCGAAAATATGAGAAAACACATAAAGAACCAATATCAAGTTGAAAACTATTGAATTGTATGGAACGGTGAAGAGCTGTTTCATCCTAGCTTGAGAATTATTGACGCATAAATAAAGCCATACCATAACCTCTTATGATGAATACGTCATTATTCAGCCAATGACCTGGAATCTCTCACCTTGTTGATTCACAGCTTAACGTGCATAGTAATCCGTGAGTGGATCTCACATGGCGCTGTTGATATGCAATTCTGAGAATTTCTCAACCATTAGGAAACAGATAAGCAATGCTTTCTGGTTTTCGTTTGTACTCGAATGATTTCAGTTAGTGATGGATTTTTCTAAATCGATCAGTTACCAACTATCCTGTAGATTGTCAGTTATGTTAAATATGTATTGTGTCAAACATTGTTTTCCCCATGGTACTTGGATAGCATGGTTTTCATAAAAATCATTCATCCCGAGGTATCTAGCTTCCCGCACATCATATTTGGGAAATAACCATCATTTTGAAAATGCAATTTCCTAAATCGAAGGTATTTATTATTAGCACTATTATTGCTACTTATGATTACGGTGAGCAGATGCATTGGAAATAAGTCGTATTATTTAGACATAATAGCTTGTAATTTCCCATTATCACTTAGACCGAATTCATTAGCCACTATCAGCTAGTGGCTAACACTGGAACCTAGAACATGCGTACCGCCCTGTTTCGAACTAGACAGCTAGACCTACCTTCATCGTTGTATTGTGTTCTCTGAGCTGCGTTGCTTAATAGTGAAGTTAGTGCTGATGATATCATCTAGAAGAACGATGAAAGCTTTACGATTAAACAACCCAGCTCAGAGAACACACTGCGCCCAAAACCATCCACATGAGCTACAAATATTCTCCACTACTTCAGACGTACTTCATTTCGGTGAGTGATTCTTTTCTTTTTAAAGCTGGAACCCAGGACCTTCCACTTCAATTGCTTGGGCGTTATCCATTAGATCAATAGCTGTAGCATTCAAACTATACTACGCCCACAGCGCAATCAGTGACTGTCGTGACTGAGAGGCCTACCGTATAACGCTTTGGCATTTGAAGCAGCTGGTCCCAGGTCCCAGTCCTAGTGGGAAAAACAGAACTTACTGGGGTACGGGCACATCCGCCTGATGAGACCTCAAAATGACGAGATGCTCATTTTGGATTCCACTGGTAAACACCATTCATAATTAATATTAACTTCTGCTATCTTTTGTTCATTCATAAAAATATATTTCAGTAAAATTCCAGCTTATTTAGAAAGTCAAAACGAGATGTTTCTGAATTCACTGTGTAAGCCACAGCTTCTTACGTGGAATATTGTTTTGATTTTCTGAATAAGCTGGGATTACATTAAAATGCATTTTCATAAAGATGAAATTGAACTCGGTGCTCAGTTTTTGTCATGACATTCGTGAAACCCATAGTTCTGGATATTTATTATCACTGATTAATTGTATGTTGAATGATCACTTGATGTATCTTCCATCTAGCACGACTAGAAATCCTTGAAAGTGCAGATCAGATACGCCTTTTTATATTTATTCTCAAAAGAACCTATTTCAGTCTGAATTCTGTATTATAAGGATTAAATCTGTTGATTTACTGGGTGAATAACTGATATTACGACTGATTTCTTTTATCTAAGAACACTCTCCTTTGAGGGATTATTGCTGCTACCAGTTGGTTGTTTTCACTTTAGTACCACTTACTAACCATATACCTTTATAAGAATCCATTCTATGCTAAACTATTTAAAATAGTTAACTTGATGAAGTAAACTATTATTCAGTCATTTAAGTTACCGGTTATACTGTTTACTATGTTCATTGGAGTTTGATTAGGATACAGGATCATGACAGACTACTAATTGTCTTAATATGATAGGTTTACGTAGTCATCGTTGTTTAGTAAAACGATTGAGGAGTCAGTCAGTTTAAGATAGATTACTTTTAGTATTTCTTGGTACAACACTGAAAGAAGTGGGGTAAAATTTCAAGCTGTTAAAGGCTCCCTTTAATAGATGGTTATCTCCTTTCTGCTAACTGCTTTGATCAGGTTAACATTAGCAGCAAAACGAGGTATCTATCTTTGAAAATATTCACAAAAGCGCATTCTATTGAATTTGGGGGCTTATGGGGATTTAGAGACTTTTTCAAGTTGGTATTCATAATGGACTGACAGCAGTTGGAGGGACATTGGAAACCTGGGAGGACTGGACAGCTATTTCGTCCGAGTATGGGACTCCTCAGCGGTGCGCACCCACGACCTTCAGGTTCAGTGGCCAGTATGTTACCACTAAGCCACTCGGTCGGGACTAGCAGTCCATACTTCCAACTTCTGTCAGTTTACGATGTAGTGAGACCACCACCCTGTGTCGATGTTGAGTATTTGTCCTAACGGCCACCAGATTTGCCCTCGGGTCACGACTTCTCATTGGAACTTTGGGAATCACCTCTCAAAGCTAGTCACCAATGAGCACTCGTTCAATTAAATTCGGGTGTTTGTGGGGATTTAACGATTTGTCAAGTTGATGTTCATCATGGCTCAGTGGCAACGTGCTGGCCATGGAACCTGAAGGCCGCGGGTTCGGTCCCTGGTGGGGTCGTGGGGCCCACTGCTTAAGGGTTCCATACTAAGATGAAACATCTGTCCAGTGCTCCCAGGTTTCCAATTTCCTCTAACTGATTTAAGTCCATGATGAATACCAACTTGAAAAAGAGCATTCTGTCTATCAATGCATCAAGCT